TGCATTTCTAGCCTCTGAAAATATTGGAAGGAAGATGGGATGGTTAAAAGCAGTGGTGAATGACTGTAAGAACCCTTGGCTAGCTCTGCCATTGACTTTTTTGACAAATCACTCTATTCATTTGTGTGTCAATTTCTCATTTACCAAGTGGAAACAATGATCTTTGTTGTCCCTTTCCTATTTTTTCATTTTCTTTCACACTGTAATCCTCTTCGGGTAAGAAGCTACTATTTGCAACGTGTATGTACAGAGCCTAAAATCTCCAATTCAGAATACAACTCATGACTATGGGTTGCATTTGTGTTCAAATTAACATTTTCAAGCAGATGCTTAGAAAGATTTTTTTTCTTTTTCTCAGATGGAAATCAGTGCAAATCACCACCATGCCAGTTCTCATCTTCCTGCTGTGTACTTGCCTTTATTAAGGATAAACCTGGCTCTTGAGCGCTTCACCAATTCTCTAGTGGATTTCCACAAATACCAACTCCATCTAAACAATGGATTAATTAACACAGCTCTTTGATTCAAAATGTCATGTATGAAAAATAGATGGTCACTCCATGTGCTCCATTCCTGCTATTCTGATGCAAAATATGTGACAGAAAATAATCATATGCTGTTTGCAAGAGTATCCAAAGAGTTTGATAATGATAATTAGGGAGAGAATCAGTGTAGGATAGTAGAAGAAAGCACAATAATAGCAATGCTCAGTGTTATCCAGACAAGGAAACAGAAGTATTGCACACTTCATTGATCTTGAATTACATAAAAAAGTATCCACGTTAATCTCCATTTGGACAGCAATATTAAAAGATAGGACTGTAGACAATATCTAGTATGAAACCAATTCTGCATGCAGAAAGATCCCAACACACCTATGCTCACACCTGTTTCATTTTCAGTCCACAGAAGTATAGGAAAGCAATGCTGAGTAAACTCATGAAAGCTACTAATTTGGGCTGACCCTCTGCCATTTGGCAGAGTTTTGGTCCAACCCTGAATTTCAGAGATACTGGCATCACTCCAACCAGAGCCCTCAAGTTCTAAACCTGGCTTTCTATTCCTGGGGTTTCAGTACCCTAGTATTTTCCAATCTGTGCACACTAATTAATTATTTGTTTCCATTTTCAATCTCTGAAGCTGCCGATAGGCTGAAGGGTTTCAGCAGATAACTAAGCTGTAATCGTATTTGCCACAGACAGAAATGCCCAAGCAGTCCTTACATTAACATAATTTCCTCAGATGACGACTAGAATTCATCTACATTAGCCTCTCACAACTGTTTGTTAGTAGGAATTGAACACTCTCCAGAGCCTCCTCCATTCTGTGTGTTGGCTCCTACAGTTCCTAATGCTACTGCCCAAATGAATAAGCTCTACTTTTTGCTGACTTTTCATCTGCAGGGCTATCACACTAACAATACATGTTAAATGTCTTACAGAACTAAATTATCTAAATATAGAAATTAATACAGAACAGCATAAGGCAAAATGAAGAATTAAACATGATTACAGTGGATAGATACATTTTACTAAGAAGTTTGGAAACAAATTAAAGACTGAAAAGCCATTTGCAAACAGCAGTGATGTTCCAGACATTGTAAGCACTGTGGCAAGACAAAAGACCATCAAACAGATCAGAGATGACAGAAAAGAGTAAAAACATTTATATAGGACTGAAGGGAGTTGAAGGGAAGTGTCATTCCATAGAACACACCATGAAATGTTTGCACTTCCTTATGTGGATGAGAAAAAGAGAAGGCAAGCGTAGAGTTACAGGAAGATTACAAAATACTGATGTCTGAAAGTTCAACCATCAACTACTATAACGTTAAAGTCCAGGGAGGATGAGAAATCTTCAGTGTCATTTCTTGGATACTGTACAATACTATACCATTTCCTAACTAACTAATTCACAAATGCAACTAAACAGAGGAGAGAATTAAAACATACATAGACCTGAAGAAAATATGTAGAAGGGAAAATGTTCATTCTTATTGTTTCAATTGGTAAACAGCTCACTATCATTGTACTTCCAAAATACTTTAATTTCTAGTTTACTCCCTCCCTCCGGATGAATTTCCATTTCTTATTTTAACTTCTTTCTTACTACTAAGAGAAATGTAATATCCTGGATTTGGAGGAAAAAAAAAAAAAACACAGACATTTGTTGAGATTAAACTATATGAATAACATAGAATGCAGATGCAGGAGAATGTACCAAATTAATGACAAAAAAAGCATATCTCATAGTATGCTTTTGTAGTAATGCAATATTGTAAACACAACTGGAAAGTGAGTCTCACACACTCAACATATGATTCCAACCTTTATTTGTCCTTTTACAAATTAAATGCAGCTAGGGCATACTGTAACACTAAGCTCAGATGTAGAAAAGATCTTACAAGAAGAGGGATAATATTTATTGCTACTTCACCAAGTGATAAGACAAGGGGAAATGGCTTCAAGTTGCGCCAGGGCTGGGGGTTAGGTTGGATATTAGAAGAAATTTTGTTACTGAACAGATGCGGCATTATTAGAACACACTGCCCAGGAAAGTCACCGTCCTTGGAGGTCTTTAAGAAAAGTGTAGATTTAGAACTTAGTAGCATGGTGGGATGGACTTGTCAGTACTAGGTTAAAGGTTGGACTAGATGATCTTGGAGGTCTTTTCCAACCTGAATGATCTGATGATTCACTCTTTCAAAAGCGCTAGGTTTGCATGACAGAGGGCTTGGAAGTCAGTTCTCTCCCCAAAAACTGAGACCTTTCAAACTTTGGTGTGACTAACAGTTACACCTCAGAGGGCTGTATTTATCTTCACTTTGTATCTTCCAGCATTTCTGATGATTCTTACAGGGAATCAGTTTGCATATGGAGCTGTATAAAATAGCAAAAATGGTGAGTCTGGACATTTTCAAGGCCACCGTATCAATTGGTCAGTTAACGCGAGCAACTAGAGTGCTTTGATGCCCCAAAGGGGGAAAAAAAAAAAAAAAAAAAAAAAAGCAGTAACAGAATGAACGCAGCACCATGTTTCAGGGTGTTTTATGCATCCATTCAGCTTTGGTAAAGAACGAAGTTTGTGAAAAGCAGTGGGTACACCTCATTTCATACAAAACAGTTACTGCAAGTGATGTATTTCTGCTGCACTAAAAATATCTCCATGGGAGATAAGAGAGGTGCTAGAACAACCAGATGGCCCTTGCTTATATTTATAACATTCATGTCTGGTGATAAACTATATGAAACATACTAAAAGACTAAGAAATGCTTGCAATATAGTAAGGAATAAAAGTTTAAAAGTAATTGTTTAAATTTGTAAAGTGATTTCAGCTTATAATTTAAGAGATTATCATAGACAGTCTAGAAGGTGTTTGTAACCTGCAGAACGCTAGGCTCATGTAAACAGAAATGAGCCAAACTCAGACCCTCATTCTAGGTATATTCATAATCACACATAACCAGTGCCATAAAATAGCTCCTAAATTAGAAAAGGATAATGTTTTTCAGAATCAAGGTTTATTCAGGACCACTTGCCCTCTGGTGCACCTAAGAAAAATATTATGTTTAAATTTACCAAATAAAATCTCTCTTTGAGTCTTGGTATTGCTCCTACAGTGCTTAAGGTACTTGGTTCACATGCTGTGAGGTTTTCTTTGTTTATCCTTCTACCGTCTGGGTGATTAGCACACATAAACCCCATTAAAAACAAAAAGTTCTTCAGGTTCACTTATGAACTAAAAATACTAAATACCAACATCAGATCTTGCTGAAGGGATCCCAATCTTTATCCAAGGCAGACGGACTTTTTGTCCCTCATTAGCACCACTTCCCTTTGGAGTAAAGAAGTAACTCTTGTGAACAGCTTTGTCTTTAAAACAATAGTACCAATAATTTGACTAAATCAGTAATACCTGTAAGGCAAGTATATACATCTGAGCCTGTTACCCTTTTCTTGCCATGAGAACTCCAGCCAAAAGAATGATTAAACTCATTGGAAACTAAAGTCAGATAAACCACACCCTAACAAGTGCCTTGTTTTCCTACATTTGATCTAAAAATCTCTGGATGACCACAGCACAGACTGGGAGGGGGGCAATCTGCTGTTGGTGGTCAGACCAGTGCCACAGAGGGAAACCACACAACCTCCCACGTCTTGCCTGGAATTCCTCAGGTTATAGCCATCACTATCTGACAGTGGAGTCCCATTTCTGCTTCTAGATGTGTGACTTCCAACAAAATGACTCTGCTACACCTCAGTGAAACAGAGGCAGTGACATGAATGCTTCAGACCACCAAGGTTCAGTAGATCTCCATTAGTGTCCTCATTTCCACCCTTTTTCTTTTCTCTTCTCATTTTCCACAACACTGCAGTTCACTCCTCACCCCTTCAAACTCTGCCTCACCTCCTTCACTCCTGCTTTCGTTTGGGCTAAACTTGCTGCTCCCTTCGCGGGCCCCATGTCAGCAGGAGAGCCCCTGACTCCCATTCTTGCAGCTCCTGCTTCTCCTTCTACCTGCTCAGACTGATGTCAGCTGCCACCTCTGAACTTCTCCCTTCACTCCAGGCTCAGAATTCAGCTTAAAATCCAACTCGGGCGCTTCACTCGAAGCAGCCCTCTCCAAAATCCTCCCTGAGCCATTCCCGACCCAGCTCAACACCATCGCTCTCCCTCTGCCCTTCACCGCTGCCACCTGTCAACGCCCTGTCAAAGAACCCCTTTCCCTCACGACTCCGCTCCCGTGTGCCACCAGCTGATCTGGGCAGCCGGAGCCTTTTAATTCTGCCTCGTCTGAGCAGAGGGGCTCGCTTGAGGGCAGCCCCCGAAGGGCCCCAACCCGTGCGCCTCTCCCCGCCGCCTCCCCTCAGGCCCCGGCCGGCAGGAGGAAGCGCGGCGCCTCCCGCCCGGGGCCACCGCCGGGAAGCGCCGGGGGCCCGGCGGCCGCCACCCTCCCGCTCCGGGCGCTGGGCGGGCGGCGGCGGCTCCGCTCCGCCCCGCTGCGGGGGCCGCCCGCGCCGGCAGAGGCGGCTCCGTTCGCCGCTGTGACGCCGGCGGCGCTGGAACACCTGGAGGGGCGGCGGCGGTGCCTCCGGCTCGGCCCTGCCCTGCCCTCCGCTGCTCGGCCGCGGGCAAGGTGAGTGCCGGGAGCGGGGACCCGTGCCGGAGCCCTGGGCAGGGGGAGCGGGCTCCGCTCCGCCGGCAGGCTGCCGCGGCCGGGCTCGGGCAGCGGCGGGGCCGCGGGTGGGGGGAAGGAGGCGGCGCGGCCGGCGGGCCCGAGGCGCTCGGTGCCTGGCAGGGCTCGGAGGGGCCTCCGGGGGTGAAACGGGAGAGGCGCAAGATGGCATCTGCCCGGCCTCGCCGCCCTTCCCTCCCTCCTGCCGGCGGCTGTCTCGCCATGATTGCCGCACGCATCCGCTGCTGCCGGCCGGCCGGGCTCCCTCCCTCCCTCCCGGGCATCCTCTCTGGCCGCGGGCCCGCAGGGAGCGGGGAGGAGGGGGGAGGGCGGCCCCGCCGGGCCCTCACCTGCCGGCCGGCCGCGGCGGGCCCTCGTGCCTCGTACCAGCTGCCGAGGCGAATGAAATGGGAATTAAAAGGAAAATATATATATATACGTGCTTCTGGTTCTACACCTCTATTTTGGAAAAGGTTGATCTTGGTAATCAGATTTGACCTGCATCCATCTATACCTGGCTCCTGAGTGTTGGTCACCGGGTGCATTGTTCTGGAAGACAGAGAAGGAAGAAAGAGCGCTACTTGCAGTGGTAGCGCTTAGTAGGAGGAAAGGATGAAGGGCACTGTGCTCTTTTATTGCCAGCGCTGTGTACACGTTCAGCACCAAATGTAAATAATCTCCTGTTCCGTGGTGCTGTGCTCTGTGCTGGCACCCCAAGGTCCTGCATGGGTCCTCCTCAAGCACGCCTTCTGTTCACCTTGGGGGATCCAGGTCTAGTTCCTAAACGTGGAACCGTACCAGATAATCTTAGGGATACATCAATTGTCCCCCTGCCCCCAAGTTACACCATGGATGTTCTGGAAGGTTGGCGTTGGCGTTTCCTTCTGTTTGGCACTCTACCCACACGCCCTGCTTTAAACCAAGGCAGTAGTTTATTTCTGGGAAGCACCTGTTTGTTTTTTGTTTTGTTTTGCTCGCGTTTCATTCTGTTATCCTCCTCCTTTCAGTTTTGGGATGATCAAAGGGTTTTATTTAATTTGGGTCTCAGAAGGTGGCTGTGACCCTTGTTCTTGAGCAAACTTCTTGGGAGTAAGCTGCTCACATCTAGCAAGGACATTGTTGAAAAGAAAAACGTATGTTTGGTTGCTTTGCCAAGTGTTGAGCAGAGAAAATGATAGGCAGAGTTTTGGAGTCTGTAGTGTGGGTGGCTTTGGGTATGGACTTTCACCTATTTTTTGTTGTTTTTTCCTGGTAACCAGCTCTTTTTTCAACTCTGTCCATGCAGGGTTCCCAAGGAGTGAGTAGTAGTGTTGCTTGTTAGTGCTGTCTTCCTGGCAGTGATCAAGGAGTTGTACTTCTTGATGGTGCTTAGCTTGAAGTCTGGGAACAACATCTCATTGTCATTGGGACAGTAGCATTTTGAATGAGCTATTCAAATAGCATAGCCTATTGGTTTAACCTGAGGGGCTTTATGATTTAAGATTTGTGTTAATACCACCGCAAAAGGAATTTAGCGTAAAGCCACGGAGGTCTCTGGTGTAGTAAACTGCCATAACTGGTAAAACCAGTCAGGTTTTTCCCATAGCAATTTCTCCTAGAAGATGGTGTGGCAATTAAATGCTGCCAAACCTTGGTCTAAAGTTCCCCTACTGTTTAAACTTCATGAGTGAAACATGGTTACTTCCAGAATGGTTTGAACAACAATAAAGTCAAAAGTTAGATGCTGGCAATTGGAATTTGCTTCTTAATTGAGAAAGGATTGGCTTTAGGTAAAGGTGATTTTCTCCATTCTTTTTATGAGAGCTAAGATTTAAATAGATATACAGCTGAAGGTTAGTAAGCTCAAGAATCAGTTATGACTGTATAGAAGGGAAGAGTTCTTGAACTTTTTATTTACTTACTTTTGACAAGATTTTTACCATTGTTGGAGTGAGGTAAGGAGTCACGTAGTGCAAAGTAAAATTCCTGCTGAACCCTATTGCAGGGCTTAGTAGAGTCTCAAGCCAACCAGTCTTGCCTGTTCTGCTGTGTACACTTTACAGGGCTGCTAAATTGTTCTGATGAATTCTCAAGTAACCTTTTCTGGAAAAGCTGAATAATAATAGCTCTTTTCACTCTTAAGCTAGTGTTGAAAGCTGTTGGTATGAGTTGGCAGAAAAATGTGCTAATATCTCAGCTAACAGTAAATGTCTAGAAATGTCCTCAATGACTCTTAATACTCTTTTTCAAAATCTTCTCCAAGTGTTGCTCTGAAGCAGTTGGTTCTTCAGGATGTTTTGCCATTGCTCAACCGTAAAATCTTTCTAAAGACAAAATTATACGACATGATAGAGAAGCATTAAAAATACAAAAGCCCGGAGAGTGAAGAATGTTAAACAAAGAGCCAAGCAGTCAGGAACAGTAGAAACCTTTGACCTTTTATGTGTTGCTAGTAATAGTCTCACAGTAGCTTTTCCTGCGGCTATTGTTAGCCGTGGCAAAACGAGGGGCATTTTGGCCGGTTATGCAATCACTTACGTCAACCTTGGGAACTGCCTGTTCCAAGTCACTGAAACAGTGCTCAGGTCTGTCATGCGAGCAGCTTCATAGGGATCACCGCTGCTCAGGGAACAGTCGGCTGGTGTGCCAGGGTCTGAGAAGTTCCTGCTTCTATGGCTGAGGAGCAGAGGTTGCGTGTGGACTGTGCATCTATCGAGAATATGCAGCCTGTATCGATCGCATTGACTCAATGTGCAGTGAAAGAAGATCACCCTGTATTGCTGTTGCTGTGCATGCTAAAACTGTTTCGTTAATCAAATTTCTTACCCATGGATGTGAAATGATCTCCTGAGGGATTCTAGAGAAAATTATTTTCCCTGTTCTCTCCCCCTGCTATTGTTCCCCCTCAGGTATAATAGCATTGCTTCCTGGCTTCTGCACAGATGAGAAGGGAGGCAGACTCTTGAGTGTTGACTGTGTCAACAAATAGGGTATCAAAATAAGAGAGAGATTGGTTTGAACTTTATAACCATGTTTATAAACCACATTTATGACAACATAAATGTGAAAATGATTTCATGAGTATTTGTACATCCACTGCTTTTTTCATCCATTCTGCAAGGGGAAGGGTTCCTAAGATTAAGACTAGACTGATTACGGATAAAAAGTGACACACAAACCATCTTCCTATTGTCTTTTATAATCTGTGCACAGCAGGTGTTCCATATGGCACTTTCCTTAATAGTATTTGGCTACTAAGTTTAAAAATACCATTTTGAAGCTGGAAGAACAAATGTGTATTACAAAACAATTTGATAGTCATTTCGGAGAAATGAAGCGAGTCTGCATTTAGAGTGAAATTAAATCCTGGATTGTATATATCTCCAGTTTTGCTCATTTGCAGAGAGAGATTAGACCCATCACTCAACTTCTTTTGTAAGATAGATACAGTACTTATTTACAATACCTAATTCCTTCCTAAGGACATTTGCTTGGTGTTCTTCACATATATAAATGGAAAACTAGTAGTTGAGTGAAAGCTGTTACATAAGGACAAACTAATATTATGTGCTGTTCTTAAATTATTTCACAGTCACCTGCTGAAAAGTCAGTATTACATGAAAAAGCAGCCTAAAATTAGTTTTGCCTGTGTTTAAATACGTGTCTTTGTGTATATAAATAGTGAAGTTCTGCATGCAGTTTATTGAGAAAGGACTATCATTTGCTTGTTAATCTGCCTACTGTGAGTTTACCAGCATTTATCTGAGACTACATGTACTGTGTTATGACTGCATGTTCCATTCCCATCAGTTGTCTTGAGATAAACCACTGTTTTTAAGAATTTGTAATTCAGCCGTTTGAAAAACAGCTCAGTTTCATTTCAGTGTATTTTATGTTCTCGAAGGACAAGATCACTTTGCCTTTAAGTTTATCACTTTGGGATAATTTGGCAGGCATATAGTACCCAATATACACCAAATTGTTTTTTGAAGAGGAATACTAACAGCTGATTTCATCCTTGTACTTGCATGGGAGCAAAAATAGTTTTTAAAAAAACTTGATGACATAGTGCCAAATTTCCACATCTTCATGTTGGCTAAAACTTACCTCTGGCAACTCAGATATTGAAAACTGGTGCAGCCCAGATGGATTTATACTCAAGTTCTGGGTGTAAGTGTATAGTAAACTTCTATTGTGCAAATTTGCTGTATTTATCTGCCACTGCCTTCTATTAACTTGTACACAGTGGAAATAGAAAAATAAAAGACTCAAAATGATAATAAAAGAAATGGGACCCTGGCTATCATCCTCTGTTTTGACTGCATCAGAAAATTAAGCAATTTCCTATGTTAATTGTGTATTCTGCAGTAATTATTCCACACTAGAAACATAATAATTGCTTTTGGAATAAAGCAGCTTGTACAGTACTCTCTGCAGTAGCTATTGGTCATCTGCCCTGTGAAGAGAGTATTAACAATGAGTTTAAAACCGAATGAAAGACAGATCATTTTATACTTAATGACAGTAGTGCTGCTCATTTTGTTGGGTGTTCTGTTCGCAGACAGGTCACTAGTTAATGCTACTAAATGCTAGAAAGAACACCCCAAGCCTCCAGATTTCTTCATACCTTGTGCGTAGTTTCTAATGGTGCAAGTCTTTAATCACACGATCTTAGTCATTCAAGATACCTGCTTGTATTGCTGTGCCTTGTTCTCCCTGCAATTGATCAGCCTGAAAAAGAAGGCAAAGAAAGTGTGATATTGGCTCAAACTGGAAAACAGACTCCAATTTCTCTGATACTTTTGTTGTTTTCAGTTCACTGTTGTTGGTTCATTTTCCTTTGCATGTCTAGTTTTGTTGTTAGTGTTTCTTTTCTTGATGCTTTAAAGGATCAAGACAAACAAATAAATGGAATGGAATAAATGAAGTTTTTGCTGGGATCTTTCATAAACCTTGATAGACCAGCGATCCTTCTGTTGGCT